GTGAATAGCGCAACTGACACAAAGGTATTGATCGGATTTGAAGACTACTTGAATCACGTGGTTTTTCGCACGCGCGACGCGTCAAGGTCGCGGTGGCATGACTACCGTTAATCGTTCCTTTTTAAAATTCCAAAGCTTTGCGTGAGGAGCTGGCCCAGTGTGTCTAGCAAATTCAAAGTGTTTAAGAAAACTTGGAAATAAATAATTAATTTGGTGTGGCAAGATTAGGGCTATTATATAGGCGACGCGATATCCTTTCTCGACAGCGACCAAAATAGACTTGGTTAGAACCACGAAACCCTTCCGATTGGCCAATTCTTGGCGCTCTTTTTAAAAAAGAAACAGCTTTTGATGTGGCTTGCGCTGGTTCATCACGCTTGACCCATGTATTCAATTGATACTAATGCGGTGAAGCTATTTTTTGTCAAATTGCGTGAAGGTATTTGTAAAACACTAGTAGGTAATTACATGATTGTGATCGGATTCTACAGTCAACCATTGTGTTGGCCAAAACTGGGTTTAATGTCTGATCAGTAGGATCATTTTAGAAACCAACACAAAAAGGCCGATGACAGCATGGTTATCTTGTTTTCATGGGACGCACGATTGTAATGGAACTACTAAAGAATGCCGTCATTGATGATGCAAATTAATCAGCTAATCAACTAAATTTCCTCCCTTCGAACTAAGTGAAATAAACTAATTTCTGTTCACGTGGTAGCGCTACTCACGCTCTCATTCCGGAGATAGTTTGACCGGTTTGAAAGCAGACCATTGGCTAAGAAGCAAAATTTTACTTCAACTTATTAATGCATAATCAAAACAGAGGAAAAAAACCATCCAGGCGTTCACACAAAGTAATGCATATGACAAAAAAATCAATTCCATCCCTTATTCCACCGGTCTGACTTGTCCACTTCCACGGAGGGACCACAAGAGTCGGCCAGACAGACTGGACCATAGGGCGGGCAGGGATCGGGAGCCTTCAGGGGTAGACAACAGGGTCTGCAGGCGCCGCTGGCGTTGTTGGTGGGGTTGCACAAAGACGACTTATGACAGCACTGGTTTTCGGTGTCACACGCAACCCTCGGGCCGTCAACCATGTGAGCAAGTTTTCGGCAGATTGGTTTGGTGCATTTGATCCGTGCGGCACCAGGACAGGGCATCGCGGGGGTGCAGTAGGTGTCGCGTTTGCACATCTTTTTTTGAAGGAGGCAGGGATGCTCGCACTCTCTTTGCCCCCGTCCGCGTGTGTGTGTGATGGTGCCACGGCAACGCGTTCAATCGATCGCTTTCAAATACGCCTATACGCGATCACGTGATGTCCATGCGTGAAAATGCGACAACAGCTTCGACCGCTTGAAAATTCTTATCATCGTGGCAAAATTTAAGCATCACGAGGGTCATCAAAAAACCGTGCTATAATCTGAAATTGTCCTCAGATATGCCATTATTCATGTCGATGTTAAAGTAAAACGTGACGCGATACATTTCGAAAATTAGACGTTTTTGTAGTGGACAGGAGTTCGAGGAACTATCTGTTGAAATTGCCGTGATGTCACTTAAAAAACGAGTTGTAGATCTTTCGATTGCTCAAACCAGTAAGCCAATCATGTGTGCGTTTATGGTTCACAAAATGCGATCGATTCCGCGTCTAACCGTTGGCATGACAACGCACGCAAGAACTCACAAAAACGCAACAAGGCGATCGCGTGGCGCTTTACACAGTGGCCGAAATTTGTGCATCTTTGTTATTGAAGCGGGAAAATGCAAACTACCGAGAAAAATTAAAGCCTAAATTCAATAAATATTCAGAAGACAAAGTATTAGTCCCACTTTGATGTTCATGTTAGCATATGGGATATTTGCACGAAAATTAGTTTAACCTTCAAAGCCAGCCAATCAAAACACTGAATCCTTTTCACCAAACCAAACTAGGAGGGTAATTTAGTCACATCGTCAAACTAATTACCCAGCATTAATAAAACTGGGATAATTGGTCCTCTTTATACTCGGTGGTTTTCAGTTAAATAACTTTCATTTTCACATGGCAAGACGAAGTAGACTATTGTTTCCTCTCTAGTAATTAACTAAAGATGCAAGTGTCCGCGACAATACTTTTTAACGATTTAGTAAGATTACCGTTACGAATATGGCGCAATTTAATTCCACTTACAAATGTCAGATAATGAATGTCTAACGTATAAAATGTCTTGGAAAGTTTCTAACTGCCAGACGAGCAAAACCTTTGAATTGAATTGATACACAAGACGTTGAGCAGCAGTCAACATTAGAGCCATTAATCCGTAGCCAATGGAAAACGCTCGTGACCTATATGACAACCAATCATGCGAGGACATTGATTTGTAGAATTTAGCACAAAATGTGTTAATGTGATCATCCTCAACATCTGCTGTATCAAGCGAATTGATTGAAAAGAGCATAAAAACAGACTTTAGGGTCAAAATTTTGACGAGATGCAGTTCCCTTACCACGTGCATCTAACCTTGAAATTATCTCAACTTGGTAGGAGTTTGGGACAATAAATCTCGCGGTTTGAATTTATGGGTTTAGCAGAATTAAAACAAGTGCCGTTTTACGACCATTTTAAGGCCGTTGGATCAGGCGTCAGTGTGTGGCTTTGTGGGGTTTCGCCTCAAGAACACTGATGTGGAAAATTACTAATCCAAAATGGGATTCAACCACTAATTAGTTTTCAAAATTCGATCGAAGGCAATGCAACCCGTTTAACTAAATTTCGCGTTTAAAACTGCTGGTTTTGGGGGCAACATTAAGCTAAGATCAACAATTCGTGTTCAAACAACCCACATAAACACGTGATTTGGATGTTTAATTTGAACTGCAGTGGGAATCCATCAACTTAATCACCTTGCTTATTGTGTTGTTTTACTTTTGTGCATTACCCGGCGCGAAAACAGAAGCATGTACAAAATGTAAATTTACATTCTAGTGAAATTAAGGTAGTGAGAGTGTGTGGAAAGTGAATAGGAAAATTCGGGAAGTCAGTGAAAATGGTTATGGATAAGTACTGTTTTTTTATATACAAATCAGTAACAAAGTCCAATCCAGTTGCACCCCACTGAGAAAACCCACAGTGCAGAGACAGGCTTGGCAGCAGTGAAGTCAAATCACGACTGGAATGTAGATAATTGCATTTCTTTGGTCATCTAAAAGTCATAAAACACAATTTCATACTCCCCGGGCACACGAGTTCAGATCGACCGCGCTTCCAACTCATTGGTTCATTCTCGTTTCGAGTGCAACATCAATTGTACTTGTTGTCAAGGTCGTGCCGGGCAAACGTGTTTCTTTTGGTCTTAGGGGGCGAATTCGCACTCTGGTCGTGTTGAGTTTAGGAGCAGCTTTTGTTTAAACTAAACATTTGACCTTGTATCGACCACGTCATTGGTTGCGTGACATAAGCAAGCAAAACCTACCGTATTGAGATTAACGTCTATTCCTCGGGTCAGTGGAGGCAACGTTGAGGAGTCTGAAGTTATGCTGCATTGAATGAGTGCACATCTTCGACTGATCCTGCTCGTACGCTGCCCATCGCAGCAGTCGGTCTGTGTGCTCCTCACAACGCTTCCGCAAAAGACTCAAGTCCAATTTGTCCGGCTTCTTGCACCGCACAGGCAACGTCTTCTCCATTAGGGGGTTCCCGTATCCAAGACGATGCAACTCTTTCGCGGATCCAGCGACCACGGCACGACGAATTTCAATGAGTTCATGAAGCCGGTCCAGTGAACTGCGTCGGCTCTCTGTGGAGAGGGTTGTTGACAGACTGGACCAGTCGAAGTCGTCACGATGCAGACGTTTGGGGAGGGAAGGGTGTTGGGGGGGCTTCGTGATCCTTGAAATCGTTCCCATCGACTGGGTGCTTCTTACCCGCCTTCGAATTCTTTCGGTAAAGGATAGAGAACTGCCAAACTGCCTGATACGTGGAGGATTTTCATTGCGTTCGGCGACACCTGAATCGGCTTGGTCCGGCAAACTCGAGCGACTATTGACACAACTGTCTTGTTCAATAGAAACAGACGAGGGGTGGTGGTGGTGGTGGTGAATGATGGATAATATCGCATGGGAATGGAGGTACTTTGCGGGCAGTTCAACGCGTGTGATTGTATCGCCACAAGCCAGACTGCACGCAACACCTAGACAAAGACGTTTCCAGGTTTGTGATAGCTTGTCCGATATTTGTGCACACCATGATGTCTGCTTTGAAAGAGCTCTAAGGGCAGATACCAGCTCGAGGGTCTGAATACTCGTCAGAGTAACGAATCCGTCTAATGGCGTGGTTGCTAGGCGTAACTTGATCAGCTGAGCGACATCGTGAACGTCACGCGTGGACGGTTCAGCTGCTTCACGCAGCTGTTCAACCAGGTTGCGAGTCTCTGTTGACAGTGCGTCGTTGCAAATTGAGTCAATTGTGCCCGTAACGTCACTTTGGGCTGCATTGGTAGCTAATCCTGCACTTATCCACTTGCTGGCACTAATCGCATTCTGTGGCGCCACCCCCAGTTCGGCCGACAAGCTGGCAATCGTTCGAGTCCACTCCTGAACCCTCTCTTCCAGATGCTGCCGTTGTGCACCAGTTAACAGAAGGGGCCACTCTTCCGTCCAGTTCACAGATGCACCCAAATCGGCAAAGAGAAGGTCACTTTGATGGTCTAACGCGTAGAGCAGGCAGATCTGCTCCACGGTGTTCAGCGCGAACCCATCCAGAGCCTTCTGTGCTCCTTGGAGAGCCACCAATGTCACGTCGTTGTTGGAAACCTCTGATTCGGCTTCTAGATTGCCTTTAACAAAGCGAATCAAGTCAGCCGCGGCCAGATCATCCTCCAGGCTTGCTAATCGAAGTGACACGAGTTCTTGAGCTGCGACCGGTGTTGTAGTGCTCGTTGGCAGCGCCAAACTCAAATAACCCTGTAGTAATTTAAGGCTCAGCTCAATATCTTCACACACCATTGCTTCTCTGAGGTGTCTACTGAGGTGCCAGGCGCATTCGTTGGCGAGTTGCCTGAGGATTTTAATCTGAATTAAAGTAAGAGGCTGCCCATTCGACGGCAAGTAATCTGCGAGTGCTTTGAAAACATCGGACAGGCCATCAACGCATCTTTTGACCGACCGTCCCGATTGGATCAGTACACGTGAGTAATGGTAGGCGTCAATAAGGGCGTCTAGCATCGATGCTGATCTCCTGTCGTTGTTGTTGATGTCGTCGATGAGAGATTTGACATCGATGGCACGGTGTGCAATGAGCGTGCATTTGTCTGGTGGTGCGGACACTGCGAATCCGTTTTTCACGGCCGGTGAAGACTCTAAACTCTGAAATGCGTCTGTGCCACTGCTAATCTTGACGTTTCCACTCACCGAGAAGGAGGAAAAGCTCTCAGTTGGGGAAGAGACAACGGTTTCCGAGGTGATCACTTCATCCAGCCTCCTTGTTTGGACATCTTTCAGACGAACACTTCGTGAAAGCGTGAAGAGTGAGTTGAAAAATAGGGTGACATCGTTGGTTGACTGAAGCGCCTTGCTGGAGAGTAAGTTATCAAGATTCCTCATTGCCAACGCGACGTCAGTTAACAGGTCTGTGTTGTCCTTCAAATCGACGAAATAATCGATCACGGTTGCACTTCCAGATTCAAGTCTACACGCGTCATCTTGGAAGAGGTTGTTGATAATGTGGCAGGTTGAACGCAAGTCATCGACTGATGGCGCGGAGGCGTCCAAACCATTGAGAAGGCGCACTGCACAGCTGACTGCTGAAGGCGGCAAGTAGAAGAAACCGCTCAGACTTGCTTCCAGACCTTCGCGGACCAGAACAGGATCTGGAGCCATCAGCGGATTGCCTGTCTCGTTGCTCAGAAGGAGGATAACTGGAGCTATGCGGGAGCGCAAGTCTTCAAGTAGTGCCTTCCCAGCTTCAACTAGGGTGGCCTCAACAAATTTTCGAATGTGCGGACTCACAAAAAGCAGTTCGCTCAGGTTTACTTGTGATTCTTCGGAGCTAATGACCTCCTCGATCCGATTTAGCACGTGTGCCAGTCCAACCTTGCCTTCTAGACGTCCATGGAAGTACCCAGAATGGAAGCAGGTAGCAACAGCATGGTACACCGTCACCAACTGGTCGTTTGAGAGAGTAACCTGAGGTGATGTGCGCTCCATGAGGACTCTAATCACAAACAGTGACTGCAACAGATGGAAGTACGACTCTGAACGATAAGAAGCCTCCTTTAGATCAGATATTAACTGTGCTGTCTTCACTGAAGACTTCATTTCGACGTAGTGCGAGAGCTGTGCTGTTAGATCAAGAGGTACGCCTGAAGCAATGAAGAAGAATTCGTGGAAGAAAAATTCATGAAAGCCACTGTCTGTCTGGCAAGTCGAAGACAACCACTCCGACGCAAAGTTAGTAGTCTCCTTGAACAGGCGACCAAATAACCCGCTAGAGGTTAGTTGTTCGTGAGTGAAGAAGACTGCCCAAAATATCTGCGCCAACGCATGATTTATTTTGGCCTTCGCTGGTCCCTTCATATCTACAGCGAGCTCGTTTGCCACGCAGACGGTTGTCAGGAGTTTGTCAAAGTTAACACTACCTCGGACATCTTGAGTGTCCAATGCTAGCGGTAGAAACGGTATCAGCAGACGTACTTGTCTGACGTCGGGTTTGCGTGGAAGCTGTAGGTGAGTGGCGAATTCAATGAGAATTTCGCGAACCATGGTGACGTCCTCGGTGGAGAGGGATGTGATCGGTCGGCAAAGAAGCATGGCCAGAAGTTTTACTTCGATGTGAACCGGTATGAGAACTGACGCGATGCAGATGAACTGTAGAGTGCTCAACAAACCACGGTCTTGAATGTACCTGCTGTCCATGAGTCGTTCAATGCTCTGCGAGGTCGTGATCACAAGGTCATTGGCCAGCTTCTGTTCAAGGAATACCTCAACCCTTTCGAGAGTTGTTGGGTTGATTTCAGGCGTGGTGTTATCAGCCAATGCGAGTCGCAAATGTCTTTCCAGAGCTAGAACAGCCGACCAAAGCTGCTGATCTGGTGAAATGTAGCTCCGACTAACACCAAGATCAAAAACTAATTCCGTGTAATCGGCAGGTCTCGGACCTTGGCCTTCAAGTCTTGAACGCAGCCCTCTCAGTGACGCAATGGCAAAGAGGAGTGAGTTGTCGGAGTTGAGAAAACCACCAACTTCCTGACTAAACTCTGAGACGTCAGTCTTTAGAACGTTAAGCTCTGATAGCTGATTGTCAGACAAGGGAGTGCTGGATGCTGCTTGAATATGTCGAAGCATCTTTGTCGCGACTACGAATTGCTCTGGTGGCACGAGGTTGTCGGGATTCAGCAGAAGGTCAGTTAAGTAAGCCACGGCTTCGTCAAACTGCTGTTCACCATCAACAGCCTCAAGCGAATCCGGTAGGGTTTCCAGGGCATCAATATTTGTCTCCTCAACAACACCTGAACCATTGTTTGAGGTGGATGTGAAGCCCTGAATTTCGTCGAAAATTGACCGATTAATAAAAATTACTGGCTGATCAAACTGTTTAATAAGTGCCTCTAGCAAGAGCACGAATAAGAGATTGCACTGAGGTGAGTTTTGCGCAGGTCCTGCCAACATTGAGACAACTCCAGTTAACTTCGGTGGTTCAAAACTGGCCAGGCTCTTGTCTGAACCCGACAGACTCAACTCTTCCGTCAAATTGCCCTCATTCAACTCTTGCGTCTCCGGTTGGGTGAGCAGGAACTGTCGCATGTCATCCAACTCCGACTCTGAGTACTCCGAAATTAGGACGTCCTCGTTGGACGTGAGAGAGGTTATCCACTGACCGAGGACCGTCGGATCGCAGTTGAGTTGACGGTTATTCACGGAACTCACTACAAACTTGGATTTGAGCGCGTCAATGAGTTTGGCATGCTTCGATTTCGGCGAAAACAAGTTATTCACGGTTTCTGGCAGCGCGTTGGTGGTGCGTTCGCAGGTGTTTATTAGTGCGGACAACTCGTTCAGGAGTTCCTCCTGCGTCCCCTCTGGAAGGCAGTCAGATTCTGCAACAAATACGTGAAATGCCACGTTCGAGTACAGTCGCTTGATGGCTTTCTCGGGGAACTGGTTGAATAGCTGCGTCAACGCATGCCTCTGCAGAAGGCGCTTTGAAATACCCTTGGTATCAGCACTACCCGACGATTTCAACAGAGCGCGGACTTTGTAGAGACTGAGCAGTCGAATGGACATATCAGCAGTTTCCTCACCAGTCACAGATTCGCTACCGATCTTTCCGAACCGTTCCGTAGCCTCTCTAGCGAGATACAGGAGCTTCTTAAACTCTCTCGCAGTTAAAATGATCGCATTTCCAGAACTGACAATGCACTTGTGCTTGATTTGCTCCAGGAAGAACAAGGACAGGGAGTCAGTGACATCGAATAAGACAGCAAAACAGATTTCTGCGAGGTAAAATGTGTTCTCCGAATTCAGCCGTACTTCTGGTCCCGTTGTGTCCGCTCGGTGGCCATCAATGTCGGACAGAATGCTTGTCAGTTTGTTGAAACTGCTGCGAAGAATAGGCGCTTGAACGCGTCGATAAAAACCACGCACACGACTAACTGTTTTGGCTTTCAATTTGACCTTTAAATGTCGATTCGCCTCCGTCGATAGCTTTTTGATTAGTTTACAGTCCTCCGAACGCGGTTCAACCGAACTGAGTTTTCGAACGCAATCACACAATTGGATAATTTGAAATGGCGCAAGTTTGTAAGCGAATAAGTGGCTTGGGCTGCGTTGCATTGCGCCAATCAGATTTCGCAAAAGCAGCGCCTCTGGCAGTAGTTTAAAGTAGCACAACGCGTCGCTCTGGGGTAGCGTGCTCTTCTTACTCACCAACTCCACACTTGACAAGCTCAGATCCCCGCGATAAACCCCAGTACCCAGTGTTGAGGTGTTTGCGTCAACCGGTTTAATGAGGCTTTCATTCTCGTAGGCATTTTCCTCTTCACAATTGAAAAATTTGCTCACACTCGCCATTCTAGCGTCATTCTCGGTGTCATTACTCGAATCGGGGGTCGTCGTGAGTGCAAACGGATTTCTCACGACGGAGTTGTCGACGGTTAGGAGGAATTCGTCGGTGTTTTGCTGGGACAGAGTCGACTTGGGGGTGAGATCAGCTGACTGCCTTGAAGTGGTGTTGGAAGGTTGGAAATCAAGCCCGCAAGTCAGGATGTGCTCAAGATAAACTGCGTCGGCCTCACTCAACTTGACTTCTGCATCTTCGGTAAGAAGGTCGTTGAAAGTCTGGATATCTTGACTTTTGGCTAAATTAGCAGCCCGAATCAGTGACAATGCCTCCTTTATTGGACCCTGATCCGTTTGTCCGATCACACAGACACGATGGAAGCTGTTGGGCGTGAGGCGGAATCGATTTTTGACGATATGGTGTGCCTTTGCTACTTTGAATTTGGCACAAAGTAAAGCTACTTCACCCAAACGAACCGATATTTCATCGAGTTCGCACGATTTATCCCGCGGAATCTGGTAGATTGCTACATCTCTTGAGGCATCTAGGAGATCGTGAACCAGGCAACCAAGCCGAGCCTTATCTTCCGCTGGTATGATACCGCTAACGAAGCGAGCTAATGGGCATGGTGTTTCGTCAGCTGCTGCCAAGAGGTTTTCCGTGTCTCTGAGTAAGTTCTCGTGTTCCTCACGTCGAATCTGTCCACCTTGAGCGAGTTTGTGCAAACCCATTGCAGTATCCGCAATTCGCATGGCAGTTTGTATTAGTGGTGAATCACGGTGATTGAAGATTGTAGGTGGTGTGGAGATCGCGTTGAAGATTGGCACATTGGCAGTTGTGACCAATTCAAGGAGTAAGTTGGAGTCGCTGGCAGTGAGGTCGAGTCCACGTGGAGAGTCTTCAAGACGCTTGAGCAAGTTCTGGAGGTGCATCCTCATCTCGTTGCTCTCCTGTATATCTGGATGAAGTAGGAGAGAGCGAAGGTGGAGTTGAAGGAACCTGTTGTAAGGCGGTCTCACCTTTGACGAGCCAAGACAACGCTGAAGGGTCATGAGTGGATCCATCTTCTGGTCGCTGTCTTTGGCCAAGTAGTCGAAGAGTTCACCCTCGAGAGCATGCAGCTCGTGAAGGTTGGTAGGAAGAGGACTCTGCGAACGGGTTCGATGCAAAATTCTCGTCAAAACGGGCAGCTCCTGCAACCGTTGCCTAGGTGGCAACTGGCTTAACTCGGCTTTAAGCGACTGAATCGATGCTGGTGAGAATTGGAGCTCAAACGGCGCGTCGTCGCTTGCAGACGTGGTCAGCAGATCAGTGACTTGGGCAAGTAGTTGAGACATCGCCGAATTTCCAAAGCCATCGTCTTCCATGTCGAAGAAAACTGAGCTTCCGCGTGCGATGCCATCACTGGAAGATTTCGTCTCCGACTGATGGTTCTTGAATACAAGGTTATCTCGTCGATCCAGACTCAGCGTGTCATTGCTGGAGGGTGCACCGGGCGTTAGGAGACCATTTCTTTCTTTCTTTCTCCGTGAATTTCTCCAAGGTCGTTTCGTTTGAGCCTTTGATTCACTGGCGTTTGTGGGTACACCTAAAAAACGCCACAAGACCAGGTCTGATAAGGTTTTGGCACGTGTTTGTCAACAGCCATCGCACGCACTTCGGTTCTATGTAGTATCCACGCACACACACACGCCCTACTTCAGTGTTTATTTATTCTAGAACCTAGAACAATTATCTGATCTTCCGGTGTCGTGAGCCTATTTTGGCGTTTATTTCATTCGCATTATAATCAGACGCATCTACGTTCGCTGCTGTCCTGATCGATGCATTGACCAATCACTGCCATCCTGACTCTCCATTCATCGTCATCCGATTGGTTGACCAGCGACGCCCAAGGCCATCTCCCAGGTGACTGCTAAATGAGCTGTAGTTGGCAGGATCAACGTCTGGGTACTTTAAGATAACACTTTAGCGCAACTAATTATCAACCCGAAGGATAGCAATCCCCATGACGGGCATTTTCTCGAACGCAAGATTTTCATTGTCTTCCTAAATTACTGAAATATACATTGCTTATAAAAATATTGTCACAGCGTAATTTTGTTAATTTCGAAAAAGTAGGAGAGTGCCTTAATAAATATTTATCAAGTAGGTGTCTAAAATTGTTTAAATCATTCTTTTTTTGGTTTGGTGCAATTTCAGTGTGATCGATTTGCTGTGATTCAGTGCGTTATCGAGTTTATCGATTTACATGCGACCTCCTCATGCAATAAGCCAATCAGCGATGAAGTCTAATTCGTTTTAACCAATGAGTAAACTGTTCTGAATAAACTATCAAACAAGATTTATTTTTATTTTTATCACAAAATTTTGATAAATATTAACTCAGATTGCACAGCACGTTGGCTGAAGGAAATCTAGTTCAAGCAAAAAGATCCAGAAGTCGGACAAATGGTGGAATGCCCGCTCTGCAGCAAGGCACCGGCCCATAGTAACCGTGACTAAGCCATTAGGAAAGGCGTCTAACTGGGTATAAGAACATCCATTTTGCCAAAATGGTTGCACCATCGTGAAAAGTCAATTTTTTAATCCCTTTTTATCAATAAATTTTGCAGGCGATAATGCGTTTTGAGAAATATTCATTGGTAGACTGCTGTGCGCGCGTCATCTGTGACCTCTGAGGCAATTAAAACACCACGCGGGAATTACCAAGGTCCAATTAAACAGCAATAAATCGTGTAGGCAGGCAGGTGTTTGTTAGGTGACCAATCAAATATCAGAGGATGTGTACTGATAAAAATCGCAGACAGTGCATTCGGATATCAAATTTGAGGCACAGCCTGCAAACGATTATGAAGTCTTCTTCACACTTCAATTATTATTCATGAATAGTAGTTACAGAAATACGAAATTTGGTGAATCAGCGACTACACTTAAGGATTAATTTAAAACCGAAACCGCAAAATATTATCAATTGTGCATTTAAACAAGGGTGCTGTCGCACTGGACGCCATGTGACATTTTGACAACGAAAAAACGAAACTCCTAAACCTGAGCTAGAATGCAACTAAATTAAAAAATGCGTTCTTTACAACTGGATATTTCAATTTAACCACCTGTTCAGCTCAAATATCGTAAATACAAGTAAAACTATTAGTGTTATCAAATAATTTAATGGAGACTGATCTAGGGCCAGACAATGCCCCCCCATTCACTAAATCGCTCACGTTTGAAATGTAAGACGTGTACACGTCAGCTAGGCACTAACGCTTCCGAGATTACACATATTCACCACCCTTGTGTGCATACGTTGTAGCCAAGGTGAACAGTTGGCTAGCGATCGTTGTGATATTTAAACCACAGTGCCTGCCACCTGCATGGAATTACTGGGGCACTGAAAATCTCTTCAATTTTGTGGAAATTAAAACGGCCATAGAGTTTGGGTTAATTTCGACACCAATACACAACGCACAGCTGATCGGAGTAGAAAAAATCGATACGTCGTTTAGCTGTGAGCGGTCAACAGCTGTTTTCTTGGGGCCTGGGAATATCGATTTTTTCGGCTCAGTTGCAAACACGTGCCAGAGTCGCAATCGAGGGGCCAGTAGACAGGCCCTATTTTCCCACGCATAACCCGTAAAATGTGTCGTAAGGTTGCAGGTAAAGTCACACGCACACGAACACATGGGGTCGGCTGCATGAGCCGTTTTTTTTTCAAGTCCGTGTGAAATATGATTGAAAAGTTGTGAACTTGCAAAAAGTCAGGCTTGAGACGGTAGGACAGTGTACAGGTCTAAGTTCTCATGTTTTTGGAGTAAGAGCAAGTTAAATGGTGGGAAAAATGATGCAGATTTTGACGTGTAGAAAGGATTCGACTTTCACGCTTTGGCTCTGAACTCAGCCAATTGGAGTGTCATATTAGCTTAAATTTGATTGGACATTGCCCGAGTTAAGCGTTGGGTTTCCACAATATCCAAATGGCGAAAACGTTTAGTGTGGATATTAAAAGCTGCCTTTGCAGACAATAAAAAAACTGCCATGTCAAGATAATTCCCTTTTAAACTAGATTGATACGCATCCACAAAATGAATAGTCGACACGTTTTGATGGCGAAAGCATTGATTTGATTAGGATTTTTGGGATTAAGGCGGCTGATGTACTTTTAAAGTACAAATACACTTTCGCGAGGTTTACGTCCCATCACGACTAGAAGGGTTAGCATACACATGACTTCTAAATTCATCTGTTTATTAACAACAAGCCTGATTCCGTCTGGAATAAAGGCCTTTACATCAGAATCAAATTAGAAGACAAATTAAATCAGGAAATCTCGATTTTTGGACTTATTTACTACTTTTTTCTGACTTTTCCATGGTTAAAGGTAATATTTACCACGTAAGCTACTATTTAGAAAAAAAGGCGTAGAAGTGGAACCCAATTTCTGCCGATTACGATCTCTGAGGTGTCCGAATTTCCGATAAAAAAGCAAATCTTTATAACAAAAAATCTTACTCATTCGTTAAAAATAAAACTTCGGTATTTTTGTAGATGGATTATTGCCTTTAGAACTTAATGTCTTTTGCTTAACCAATCAGATTCACCATATTGGTCCATTGATTTCTGTCCAATCGTTACGTGATGTCAATCTGATTGGTTCATGGGCTCAAAAGGGGAATAAGGAGTGAAAAAAACAGCGTGGCCACGGAAACACGTGCTTTCAGTAATAATGACCAAAAAATAGGATTTAAGGATTAAATTTTTTAGGTAGGTCAAGGTGAATAAGCTAAACAATGAGTTATTGATGCGGTCTTCTAATACGAGTGCATTGTAAGTTTGCTAAATTAGCGTGGTCTCACATGTGATCACGCTGAGCTCACGAGCGTGACACAACGTGTCACCCACGTGCATTCACCAATCACCAACACCAGTCTACAAATGAGGTTGGTTGATTTTTGTGCGCGCATGCATCTGAACTAGAAAAAAAAACACCCGAATTCGACAATAATCTTCCAGTGAGGCGTGCTAACTTCAAGCCATCAAATTCGAGTCGAATTTGATGGAAATTGATCTCGAAAAAAGCACAATTCAGGGAGTTTTTGGATTGAAGCTGACCCATGTCAAAATTCAGCCACGTGCTGTTTCTATAATTACACTTATTTTCCCTCAGGGTATTAATGAATATAGCCTCATTAAAATTCATTTTGTTATGTCATGTGAAAACCAATCCGTTTTCAAGGGAAAGCCCTCAAGAGGTCAAAATTTGACCAGTAGAAAGGTAACCTTCTAATAGCTCAGGTAAATTTCCTCTCACATGTTATTCAAGGACACATTTTTAGTTGAAATGACTGCAAATTGAAATATCAGTGTCTCACAGATTGGACAGTAAGTAGACGAGTTTGAAGACTAAATATTGATCAAATGGTAAACCATTCGAGAAATCGATTGGCTAACTCACCGGCACAGCAACCACTAGAACAACTTCCACCCATGGTGTTTCCCTTGGTTCAAAATCCGGTTTAGGGCGAAATCGTGCCGCTTGAGTAAGCTAACCGTAGCTATGTCGACGCGTAGCCAAAAGGTGATATCGTAGCCTATTCGAGGAACCAATCAACGCAATGCGTCTCTCAACCTTGGTATGTCATTGGTGGAAGTTCAATGTCGACTGTGTACATTTGTGTGCGTGGATGCGTACGTAGTACCTCGCGTGCATACGCGCACAGCGTCGACGCAGAAACGCAGGCGCACAATCTTTTTTACACGAGGGTGTTATGGATAGTGGGTTTCTGTGTATGAGGGGAATATGATGAAACTACATTCAGAAAGCCCAAAAACGAAAATATCATCACCTAGTTGGAAGTCGGAATGAGGAATCAGTGTGCCTTGTAGAGCTGTTGGTTGGTCAATTCCAATTTTGTTCGCAGCGACGTGATATTTGAGTGCGGAAAACGATTTCTGTGTTCCACATCAATGTTTTCTTAATTTCAGCCAATTTAACAAAACCGGCGTTTTACACTTTTTTAGCACCCAGGTTTGGTGAAAGTAATCAACAGTAACAAAGACAATTAAGAGCACATTGTGTAGCAATAAAATGAATTTGACAACGGGTAAAGCTATTTGCTTTGTGTTTAAATTATTCGCGTACACGTTTGGGCAGCATATTTTGAAAAAATTTTGCGGTTGAATTTGGAAACAGGCCAAAGAGTGTAGCACCATGGAAACCAATTAGTGTCTCCGCATGTTAGCGAGATAAATTAGAAGATAGGCGAGGTGACTACACGAGGTTTGTGGAAAATCATTTCTTCGGAAGCCATAAATAAATCAATACAGATCGATTTGGCCCTGAATCCGAGTCCTTTATAGAACAGCTCACCAATCACATTATTGATCGATAAGTTATTCGATCTTGTATAAATGAGTGTGTCAAACGAAGGAAATTGTGAAAATCATTTGTTTACGCAAAATTTAAACAACAACATACCAGATTTCATCGTGGTTTCAGTATCCATGCCTCTCGAATTTGCGGACGCATCAGAGATTCGGTATCTAATAAAAACAAGCATGCTCTCATTAGCTAAAATATAAAAAGTTTGTTTAAATTTGCTGATCTCTGACGCACAAATCCCAATAATTTAGGATGCTCAAAGTTACGTTTTGCCTTCCTTCTTGTTTTTTCATAAAAAAAGACTAGATTTGCTAGTCTTATTTGTTAGAAAGCATGAACCCACTTCCTCAACCGTACTCTATTTATAATTACTCACGCAATTAGACAAATGCTGGCATCCAATCAGATGCGAGGGTAACGAACTATCACAGGGTCACAGTTTTTAGCATAAAACTGGGATCAGAAGATCACTTGAACTTGAACGCTACAAATCCCGGCTCCGCAAAGATCATTGGCGAATTAATGACTGGATGACTAACCAATAGGCTTGTGAGAAGTGGCTTTAATTACTACAATCTACTGACTAAATTTAAGTAGTATTGAGATTTCCAAAATTGTAGAATCAGTAATTCACGTCGGCTTAACTTCTAAAAATACATTGAAGATGAAAAAAGGTAAGGTACTTCCACGCACCTTCCAGTTCTGTTGCAGTTCTCGACAAGGCTCGCTCTCTCATTGGCTACCGACTTTGTCCAATCACCTGCTGATTTCACTGATTCGAGTTCACTCAAGGCGCATGGAGAAACGGGCGTGACCACGGTGAGCTCCTCAGTTTCTGACGAGCTCCAGTCGCTGTTGGAGACAGTGTCGCAGGAATCTCCATGGACGTTTCGTTGTTGGTGTTTGAGACTTTGGTTACGCGCATCCTGCCATCTCAGTGTCACGTTGCGAAAGTCAAATTCATGCGATGCAGCCTTTAAATAATAGCGTCTTCTATGCTTGAAATGCGCTAGTCTATCTTGAAACGTGGACACGTAAGGAGACCACCAACCCCGTTGGTTGATTGGCATCATTCCCGTGTTCCTATTGGTGCCTGAGATTTTGTCCAGTGACCAATCAGAATAGGCCTTAACGTGTTCGCGTTTCAATGCCGTGTAGGGGTCATCCATCGAACTCGTGACATACCTGAAGGTAGGTATATAGTGGTAGGGTTTGTGCTTCGCCACATTTGACAACACGCTATCGTGCGCATGTTTAGTATTGCCTGTATTACACCTACTAATATTTGTCAGTAGCACGTTTTTTGTTGCCTTCTTTGACGAGGTTGTCAGTGGCGAATCAGGTGAAAAACTGGTTTCCAATTTTGCAGTTGTTCTTAGAGGTGTACAGGACCGTTCTCTAATTATCCGATTTGCAGATTCTTTCTTATCCACTGAACTTGCACTAACCGCGGATTCTGGTGATCTTATCGTTTGGCACATTCCAACTTGCACCTCAACACACCTGAAGCGAGTAGGGTTCTTTACCACAATGGCATCAGATTCTAGCTTTCCTGACTCTTCCGCATCTTGGTCCAGATTATTATTCGTCGAGGACGATGTCCCTTCCAGTGAATCCGTTGAAATGGCTTCTGCTGATGAATTTTCCAGCTGAGAGGAGTCCAGATTGCAGTGAGGTCGCTGAACGCTAACTGTTGTACTAATAATGTCCGGTGGATATGACATTGTCGCAAAATGGGGACGTGTTGCACTGAACTGGTTTTCCAGATCGTCTGCGTTGCGATTGGCGTCGCAGTATTCTGAAGATGCAACCGTGGCAACGGCTTCACCTGCTTCCGCGTTTGGAGTACAACGCGGGGATTCCATGCTGAGGTCTGTGTGTTTATCAGCGTAGTCAAGGAGAGCAGAATCGTGGATCACCTTGGACAGGAGATGTGCTGGTTGGTCGGACGATTCCTCCACATGATTGGTTTGACATCCACGTTCATTGGTTAACGCAGAATGGGTGCAATAGTCGATTCCCATTGGTTCATAGTTACAGCTGAGGGAGTTGCATATCCGCTTTGCCAATGAGCGATTAAGGTCGACTGGAGAAATGAGTGAGGGGCATTGTGTGCTGCGTTGGAAGAGCTTCGACGAACTACGCTGATGCCTTGATGAAATAGAAAAACTAACGCTACTTGGGTAGTTTAAGTAGAAATGGTTTATTTGAAACAGAACGTCGATAAAGGTAGTCAGAAGTCGGCAACATATTAGCATATTTTCGATTTTTCTTGGTAGATGTGCGATTGAGCTGCATACTTACTGCTAAATGTTGGATAACCCTCGAAGGCATGAATAATTTGGACTAAAATGACGGTAACTGCGCTTCCTAAACTATTTTATTGGAAGTTTCCAGTTATTAATTTTTCTATAATAGTAGTATGTTAATTTAAAATAACATTTGAAAGCGACTGGGCGGTATAGGAAGCAGTACAATTACCGACAACAGTATTATTTTATTGCTTAAGCGACGTGAATCACGGCGGTGTTCCTGGCAGTGGTTATGGAGTTGGTGGCGGTGCTTCTGGTTGAGGTGTCGAAGTCGTTGTAATGGTGGTAGTAATGTAGGTGGCGAAGGTGCTTGTGGTGGTGGAGGCGGTGGTGGAGGTGGTGGGAGTGGTGGTGGAGATGGTGGAGGGGGTGGTGATGATGGAGGTGGAGGTGGTGGAGTTGATGGTGGAGGAGGTATTGGTGGAGGTGGTGGTGGAAGGGGTTGTGATGGTGATGGTAATGGAGCTAGTGGTGGAGGCGGTGGTGAGGATGGAGATGGAGGTGGTGGAGTTGAAGATGGAGGAGGTGGTGGTAGAGGTGGTGGGAGTGGTGGTGGTGGTGATGATGGTGGTGGTTGAGGTGGTAGTGGAGGGGGCGGTGATGGTGATGGCAATGGAGCTAGTGGTGGAGGTGGTGGTGATGATGGAGGTGGAGATGGTGGAGTTGATGGTGGAGGAGGTGGTGGTGGTGGTGATGATGATGGTAGTGGTGGACGTGGTGGTGGTGGAGGAAGAAATAGTGATGCTTTGGTGGTTGTAGTGGTGCTAATAGTCGAATCCGCCAAAACTCACCTCCGGCTACCACCCACTCCGACAAACTCCGAGCTTCGGTGCTACAAAAAAAGGCAAATTTTTATTGGCAAGTGCACCGCCCCTTTTCACTCCCTTTCCAATTAAACCGTTACCTCTCTTTCACTCCTCTTTCCATTTCATTCCTATGCTATGTGGGCGTCAAGTCATCGGTTGACTTTCATACTCCTGTCTCACGCCAAAACCACTAAATTATTCACACCCGCCCTAACGTATGCTTTCACGCAGACACACAAACAAACACACACACAGAGAGAAACAAATTGAGAGTTGTAAGTGTGTCAAAATTAACAGAACTAACAGGAATCATAGTTTTTTAATTTAACGATGCTGTTCAGTAGTATAAAAAATGGTAATTTTGTGGCGCAACGAACGTTTTCCACAATGTTAGAAGTGCATCTCTAAACCACCTCCCATCACCAACGGCTAGTTACGCACTTAAAATGTACGGATAATCATTTGTTTCGATCCAGTCAAATCCCATTGGTTAATCGCAATCGAAAGCGGCGCAGACCAATCGTAATTCGTGCAGGTTTGCTGGACTTTGATTGGACCAATTACGAAGTCAGTCTTTACTTGTTAACCAAGTGCATTACTTACAACGATGTCGTCACACGAAGTTTGAAGACCTTGATGACGAAGCAGCTGCATTCCCAAGCCTTTATGCCTTGGATGCATCTAAAAGTCACACAGAATCGACTACTTATTAACCTTGATAGTAGTATAATGCTGCCAACAGAAGTAAGGTGCATTATGACGCAAATGGAGGATGAGGAATCGTGTGTGATCTCTTACCTGACGCCACTCATTTACTTCACTCTTTAACCGATTAATTTCATCCAAAAGGTGACTAATGTAGGGAGAACTTAGGTCCTAAGTTGAATCAAATCGGTTATAAAAAATATTGCGTACCTTGATACTAGTGGGCCGGTTCCTTATCAATTTTATACGCTGTGAAAATCGCAGGGCATTTACTGTTTCCCGGATGTGACGAATCGAGGGTGAAACGGCTAAATATAAATGTAACTTGAATGAGCCAATGACGGTCTCTTTGCATGAAGCTGCAATAGTTTGGCCTTGAAGATAAACTCACTAATGATGACAGTGGTTTTCGCGTTACCCCCGAGGGAGTCACGCAGGAGCCAGGTCAACTTTGAGTCCCGATAGGGCACGAAGCGGCAACGTCTGGTGGATGAGGTAGCGGGCAGTTTGTTGAGGGACGCTGGACTGCTTAGTGAGGAAAGCGATGCAGTGAACGAATTCTCTTTGCTCAAATTAGCTAAATGCAGATTTTGGATTGAGAAGGTAATTTTGCTGGGTGAATTACAGCAATGAATATTGATTTAAATCACATTAAAGAGATATTGGCAATGATTGACAATTTAATCAAAGCTGAAGTGAGTGATTGACTAGCTGCCGCTCAGCTGGCCAATGAAATCATCGAAGGTATTTAGGAAAATCAGAACCAACCAATCACAGCAACTCAAACTGTTACAATCTTTGCCATTTCTGATTGGCTACAAACAAGTGCTTTTGGTGGCGTAGCCCAGAAACCTACTGCCCCTCACCAAATAATTTATATTTGAAAAGTATCCATTCACAATTCATTTCAGGTATTTTTTTAAAAAGGAGATTCCTAGATTTTGTTTTAAAATCTGGACGCTGATTTGAATAGGTAATTTTCAAAAAAATTTCGAACGTACCTAGTCTCCTGATGACAATACTCAGCGTACAAAGAGATTTGTTGATATTCCTGGTTTCGGATACATAACTGCAATCTTGGAGATGGCGAATTTTTTCGCTGTAATCAAGTCGATTTAAAGACAAATTTATCAACAATAAATCGACAATGCTTCGTGAAAATCGATAATTTTTATACAGAATGAGGCCACGCATCAAACGTCATCAGAGAATAGCTTAAAATTCTCGCGACGCAAAAAATGGTTTTCCGGGAAAAAATTGACCACATTAAAAGAGAGTACATAAACACTTTTTAGATTTCTACAGTATTAAAATAAATTTTCGAGCTTTTACGTAACCTTACGAGGGAAAGTGAGCATGTGAGCTGATTTGTTTTGTTTAAGTCGAGTAATTTTGGGATCTTGATCGGACCAATAGACGATAGCCAACTTTAGAGCATTTCTATTGGTCAGAAGTCTCAGGCGTTAAACTTCGGCGAGTAATACAAATGCTTCCTGGAAAATTGGAAAATAAAGTAAACAGCAAAATTAGGTTTAAGAAAAAAACCGGCTTTTGCAATAAAAACGACTGTCGATTCACGCACTAAACTCACCTTCCAGCTAAGTCGATTAAATGTAATTTTGATTGGATGGATTGAATTCCCCCCGCGTCATTCCTCACATTCTACAAGGGGAAAAGTTGATGAGATATGAAATAATTCGCACTTTCCTCTAATACGTTAGGATGCACTACCTGGTTGACGTAGATCGTAAAGATTGAGTGACTCCTGCTGCTCTGCGCATTTTCATTGGTTGCAGCCGTTGCCCTGAAACAAGGCGAAATTTCAAATACCACGCGCAAAACTTGGCTGGCAGCATCACAACCGAATGCATGATATCTGCTAAGCAATGATGTGGCAAGGGTGGGAAGAGGTTGGGGTTGAATTATGCAAATTAACGCATGTCCACACACCTCGGGGTATTCCTGTCTGATGAGCCCAGCTCCCATTGCCATTGGCTAGACGGACACGTCCATGACCTTGACCCTTGTACACACCAATACAATGCTGAGTTGAGACATCTGTGTAACTTCTACCACGTAAGCCCTGATTGGGTCCTTGTTTTAATGTGATTAAGAATAACCGCCAAGTAGAATTCGCCCAATGGACTAGAAATGTTCATTTAGCCAGTGGGCAATGGCCGCGCATTAGCTGTTTACGTTTGCTGTTTACTCCTTACTTTTTACTCTGTTTATTGTTGTAGTATAGTTTGCGACCCTGTCAGCCGCAAACCTTTATCTATGGACCAATCACAGAAGTGCAATTTCAGCGACGACCAATCATCCCCATTATCACTTGGCAACCACCAATTTTGAGGTACATTTTGTGAATACGTATTGGCTGTGCGTGTTTTAAATACGTTGGTCGAATTTCTTTACGATATTTCAGACAGTATAAAACATTTTCTCATGCCTTTGAAGTTTCTGCAATCTCCGATTAGCCGAAATGACAATTAGACGCCGTAAGTGAAATGCATCCTGCTGGTAGCTAAAGCTGCTGGCAAGATTTGTGTTCAGACCTTGTGGGAAAATTGGCCGAAATGGCAGTTTTAACCTGATTGGTCACTAGGTAACCTTGGCCAATGAAATTCCTCGTCAGTCAAACAATTAACGTGTGACCCGAAGACTTGGTTAATCATTTTCAAACGATAGGAAACCTACATAAAACTCGCCATATTACTCCCTCACGGGACGGTAAACCGCAGCGAAGCATTAATTATTGATTAAATTATCAATGTGATGAATAAATCTCCTGCGACATCGATTAGTGATTCCTTAAACTGGTACGCGAAAAATGCATCCCACTTCCAGTAAGGCTCTACCTGGCTGCCATTCCGCGATCGATAAATCGCCGTAATTCCTCAAGGTCGCTGACAGCGTGCTTCGTGAGATCTACAAAGTGTTGGAGACTATTGCAACCACGCACTTTCAACATAGGGTCCATTATGCGGATGTTCACGAACTCGGAGGCCGGATCTATCATCGCAACCTTCAACAGGAGCTGCCAGCAGATCTCGGATGTGTTCGTTGTAGATTTCGAAAAAACTAGCAAATGGAAACCGATTATTTGTTAATTCATCCCCTAAATGTATCACAAAGAATACATAGGCTGCTTTAAAGGGCCATCAACACAATTTTCGCAAAAGACTAACATTATTTATGACCCAATTTGGTTAAATTTTAATGAAATTAGAAAAAGACCACAAGTAAATTACACAATTTATAATTGAGGCTTTAAAACTGGCATTATTAAGTAATGCAACCTCTGCCGCGTTTTTTAACCATCAAAACCGCCTAAATCAACATCAGAAATAAGGACCCAGAATTGTGCCTGTACTGATTCAAAGATAAGTCTGTGTGTTTAGCACGGTTGCTTAGCAGCAAGCGTGTGTGCTGCACTTGTCCAATGGGAGACAGCCGAAATGCACCAATCGTCAAGTGGGATGGCATTCGTATGTGGATCTTGCTATGCGAAGAACACACGATAATACCACAGGCTTAAAAAAAAGATTTCTAAACTGAAACCATGTCATGATGAAGGCAATTTACTAGAAAAAAGTAGAGTACAGAGCTTCATGACGAAAAATGTAATATTGGTGTTGGCTTAAAACGACGCTTTTATTTAGAGTAACAAACAGTATATATATTAATTTGATTAATTACTAAGTGAAGGGTGAATAGTACCTGATTTCGAAAAAAGTGTCGTTGGACAGACGTTGCATTGCGTAGTCGAAAAAAGCCTGGACAAAAAATGCGTTTTCAATAAAATATTAAGTTGTAGTAAGATAAAACATAAATTAGCGCCTTTTGCAGTTTAAATGATTTAATAATGATGTTAGCTAGAAGTGTCTTTCATCTTATTCTCCATAGCAAGGCAAAATGTAAGCAAAACTTGGCATTTTCGACAGTGTAAAGGAAATGGACGCGGTGAAAGACCCCTTCTCTTTATGAAGAATTACTTTTATTGACCAATTATCAAAAGGCGGTCCTCTACTTTTGAATGTGGCAACGTTGCTACATTTTGCTTGATTTTAATCGCTTAACGAGTGATGGCCAACCAATTTTAAGTGTTGGACAATTTTTAGCATGCTTACCTTGCAACACCGTGACACCAGTCCTGGGTAGTCCTATTTGCAAAAACCATGCGTAAATCATGTATAAATTTGTGGCTTGCGTCAGGGATAAATAAAATTACTTTTGTGCCAAAGATGGTATAGGTCTTCCCAGTACCAGTCATGCCATAAGCAAATATGCTGCAGTTAAAACCATCAAGGCAATCGTTTACAGCCTTCAAACCGACATGCCTAAAAATCTGAAGCATTCATCAAAATGTCGAAGCTAACCTCATCTTGGTTTTCATCAAATGACAGGTTTGATGTGAAAACAAGATCAAATTCGTAAGTGCGGCTGGTAGGATCGGACTTAAGCGTCTATGGCAGTGGGATTATAAGAAAGTGCTCATACGCCTTCAAATTTGAGGTCGATGACTTTGACAGAATGGGCATCTATTTTAAAGACGCTGTCTGGTTCGTCTTCACTGCATTTATGCGTTAGAAAAGAACAAAGCAAACTGTTACCTCGGTAATATTCGTAAGGCCACTTTAAGGTTGGTCATGTTCCAGAACAATTGCTTGCTAAAATGCAAAATTAAACAAAGCTTAATTTTAAGATGCTAGCTTAAAAGCCTCAAAGTAATATGTAATTCAACAGCTCAAATTAAGCACTGATTCATAGTTCTCTTACATATTCTCATGGACATTAATCAATGTTCCAATGCAATACGTAAATTAAATACGCTTATCGCGTAAGAGAAAGCACAAACACCTAACATCATCTATCAGATATGACTATCAGATCTTAGATGTTTATTCCAGCATACAAAAAATTTAAACAAGTCATAAATTGCAACAGCAACAACAAAATTATCTGATTACCTACCTTGTCACTAAAGGCAACAACACACCCAGCAACTACTCAATATACAAAAACAAACCCCTAAAAGTTTTAACGTTAATGAGTTGATTCTTAATAGGCATTCTAATTAAATATATAAAATCAACTGGAAAAGTGCAGATTTAAATCAAAAGAAACATTTCGCCCAAACAAAAGTCAAAAATTAAAAAAAAAAACATTTTAAAAACAAATAACAAATTAACGCTGTTACACAACATGTAAATCTGTCACCCTTAAATATAAGCTAAAGACGAATTTTTAACTGACGTACAATTCGCATTAGCATATGTTTAAAAGGGAGTGACTCTTATAATAGTCTTTAATCAATATAATAAAACAACAAAATTATGAAATAAAAAGAAAAAAATGATCAGATCTCTGGAACATAAAGTTAGCACCTTAAGCAAATTAAGCAAACAGTTTAAAACATCTAGTGTGTTTTTTTACGAGATACTGCGTAGCAACTTGTTATATTAAGACTATGATCGTTTTGACTGAACGAAACAGTAAAACATATTCAGAGTAAGGAATCTCCTCCACTTTGAAATGTGCATAATTTAATCGTTAATGATGAGTAGACGGGCCCTTTATGTAAAGCAATTTTTTCGCTTCTTAGCTAGAACATAAACGATTTTTTCGATCTCATTGTCTAAAGCTCAACAAAAATTCTTCTTACTATATATGCTGCAATTAACAATAGACTTTTTATAATACCCACCCTGATATGGAGGTGTAATACCCGATATACTCGATATATTTGTCACTTGATATTGGCTAACTTATGTCTCTTATACTTAAAAATGTTTAAGCAAACAATGAATAATTTTTTTCCAATGCTTTAAAGTAAAGTAAAAGTCAATTTTTCATAATATAACAATTATTATTAAGATTACTATACAATCATTCTTTAATCCTGTTCCTGAACAACAAATTTGTTTTAGCCCCTCGCTTATACAAGTGGGTTGTTTGGAATTGGTCTCAACCCCGTCATTTCTGGCCCTGGTTTGTGATTTGTTATCATGTTTGTTTTTAACACGGTTGCTAATTTTACTCAGTCGACTTTAGTATGCTTTTTATAAACTTGACTACAATTAAAATCACTAGTCTATATTTTTTCAAGGTCCCGTAATGTCGCAATCCGATGGCCAAGAACCACCCACAGACCCTGAACAACGTTCGGTTATAGACAAACTGGCCCAATTTGTTGCTCGAAATGGCCCTGATTTTGAGCGGATGACTAAAGATAAGCAACAGGGCAATCCCCAATTCGCTTTTCTATTCGGAGGTGATTATTCGGAATACTATAAAATGAAGGTTGAAGAAATAAAGAAGAGTATGCCTCAACCACTACCACCTCATATGTTATCACAGCAGCCACCTTTTCACCCAGATCCTGCTGGCCCACCTGTACGTTAACATCTGATTTCTTTATGCCGTACATTATCTAACTGACATTTAAAAAAACCTTGCGAAGTTTTTTTTGATTTTTGCAGTACTAACATTTCACAGCTGCAAAAATTTATTCTCTTAGACACGTAAAATTTGTATTTGTTTTGTTGCTGGTAGTTATTTGTACAGTAATAACGGCTTAACATTGTGCGATTTTTGTCGTGCAACTCTAGTAATTGTTTGTTTTTTTGTCACTGGCTCATTTGGCTATCTCCTATTGACACTTATAAATTATCTGAGTGACAACACCTTGCAAAAAATGCTTGGATTTGGGTTATAATTACAGCTAACGGGCAACACCTGTGCTTTTTTATTTTTAACCTCAGTGGGGTGCCCCGCCTTTTAACCGCAATTGGGATGACCAAGGTCGTGGTGGGGGAGATAATTATGTTGGTGGTCCCTGGCCTCCTCCACAAGGCAATTGGGGCCCCCCTTGGGCTCCCCAAGGGGGGCCACCACCCCTTCCTTGGGGCCACGGACCTTACCCCCCAAATTACTATGCCCCAGCACCGCCACCACCTCCTCATCACCCTCCCCTAACTGAAGAGGACATCAAACGCAGCGAGGCCAATCTTAAGGCCCAGTACGATAAGATTATACTGCAGGAGAAACCAGAGGCTGTTCGACAGTGTCTAGACAAAACCCGGATGGACAGCATTATCAATCAGGCTTCCGCGTTGAATATCTCTCCAGACGACATCTCGGCCGCTATCCAACCGCTCATTGACTTGTGCACCAAGGAGAACATCGCCAAAGGAAAGGTTTGGGCTGTGGAACAGCTGTCCAAGAGTGCGGAGTGCGCGAATCTCGTGGCGGATTACTTGCTTATGCGCGTTCTAAACTCAGGCGCCACTTTTGAAACTCGCTTGCACATTGTCTACCTCCTCAACGACCTCCTGCACTACCTAAAACGCCGTTCTGCGCTCCCGTTTTTCCAGGTAAATTTCGCCACTAGCAACCTCGGGTTGGCGACCCTTGTTCCTCTCACGAGTCCCTGTACTTGCCTTTTTTTTGTAGGACGCCATCAACAAGATTGTCGTTCCGATTTTCTGTCTGGCCATCGAGCTGGCCGATGAAGCCCAAACGTCCAAGTTAACGCGTGTCCTAACTCTTTGGGAGACTAATGCCTACCTTCCAGAGGATTTACTCAAGAATATGAAGGAGGAGCTTGATCGTAAGGCCTTTATGGAGGTGTGGCGTGCAGATCAAGACAAGGTAAGTTTCCGCATCTAGTCCTTCTTCCCTCATGTCGCACGTGGCACTTAAACATTTCTCTCTGTACGATTGTTAGATTCATGCTGATAAGATTGCAGCAGTAGAAGCGGAACATGCCAGCCGTTACGAAGCCCTCAAGAAGCAGCATGACGACTTTGCCGAGCACGTGCGTAAGGCGATGGCGGCGGAGGCGGAGCTGCAACCCGGCGCTCCTGAGGGTGTCCCTCCCTTTCCCGATTTCTCCCGCTACGCCCCACCACCCCCACCCCACCCTTATGGGGGCGGCGGTGGCGGATGGGGAGGGGGTGGCGGTGGCAGCTTCGATCACCGTTGGCACGGCAGCTACGACGGTCCGCGTCCTCCACCCTTCATGGCTGGTCCACCTCCTCCGATGGGAGGAAGGGGTGACCGCTGGGGAAGACCGAGAGGTGACGACATGCCCCCCTATCACCCAGATGATGAGTACTGTGATAGGCGAGGGCCGCCGCCGCCTCTATACAGAGGTGGTGGTGGTGGTGGACCTCCTAGAGATCGATTTAGACGGGACGGTCCGCCAGGTTAGAACTGTTGAGAGTTCTATTGGTTACTTCCCTTTGAATTACTATTCAATCATAGTTTCTCGCTCAGAGTTTGATTAAATTCTGCCTCCCAGCTACCTCTAGTAGCAGGGACAGCATCGTACAATTGAGGCTAGTAGGCCTATTTCTCTGACGCGTTGGAATTCGCCTTATTTGTAGGTCGTTATGATGAGCCCTACCACGACGATCGATCGTACCGCGGTCCACCGCCGCATCGGAGGCGCTACCCAGACGACCACGATAGCGATTACAGTGGGGAGCACGACAGCGGCGATCGTTGGGGCGCTGAATCTCGTCGGTCGCGTGGCGGTCCACAACCGGGCAGCGGTAGCCCTTCTAGAAGTGGTGGTGGTGGTGGTGGTGGTGGTTGGAGTCATGACGATAGCCTTGACGAACCACCACTCCCAGCCTCCGAAGAGGATCTTACCCCGAAGGTTCCTTTCTGGCAACTTCCAGCCGGTTTAATGCACCCACTTATAGCCATGGAGGACTTTGAATTCACGCCTCTTGATCCCAAGAAACTCCGCCTCTTACCAGCTGAGCCGCCTTCAGAGCAGCTCATGCTCGCTCTGGACGCCTACTACGCCCAGCCGACGCACGATCGACCCCGCGACGCTGAGGGCTGGGAGCGATTGGGGCTGTTTGAGTTCTACCGTGCCAAGGAGGAGGCCAGAAGCAGGAAGGATAGCGGCGGTGACGGGGCTATCAGCCCGCCGCCAGTGTCTAAGAAGAATTCGAGCTACAAAGGCCCCTCTCAACTCGCTTACCTCACCGCCTATCCGAAAACAGCGATCGGTCAGGCGATAAGAACCGGACCCGCGGCGCTAATCGGCGTCCCGCCGCCGACAATGCTCCTGCCGAAGATGAATGCCCAGTTCGCTGCTGCAGCCGCCGCCGCTGCGTCAGCTGCTGCTGCTGCGTCGTCGTCGGCGGCGGCTGCGGGCAACGAGGCGCAGTCTGCCACGGCCAAGGAGCGGCTGCCATCGACGGGTTTTATGAACTTCCCTCCGCCTGGAATGGTGGCGCAGGCTGGCCCTCCATCCTCACAGCCCCCCTCCCAGCTCATTTCAAGGCCTTCTCGATTTAGTTCGGCGCCGCGTCGGCGTTCGCGCTCACGCTCGCGGACGTATTCGCGCTCCCGCTCAAGGTCACGGTCTGAGTCACGCTCTTCAGGGTACGCCAGTTTTTGTCTCTACTCATTACTGCCATATCTAGTTATTATTCATCTTGATTAAAATTCACGCCTTCTAAACCCCAAACCTCCAATGCAATAATCGCGTTTCTCTTCATTAGGTCGCGTGACTCCCGCAGATCCCGGTCCTCATCTGGATCGCGCTCTCGTTCCCGTTCCAGATCGCGTTCCTCTCGCTCCCGCAGCCGCTCCCCATCCTCCGATCGGCGCTGGCGGGATCGATCAAGGTCGCGGTCGCGGTCACCAAGGGGGGGCCGAGGAAGAGGCGGTGACGGATCGATAACTACCGCTGGGTTCATGCGTCGCGGTGGAGCTGGTGGCGGTGGAGGTGGAGGCGACCTGCGCGATAATCGAAAGTAAGTCGAGCTGGTGGTGCGCTTTGTGACCTATTCTACGCTGTTCCACCCTACATCATAACCTTAATGTGGAAGGCGTCAACTGTCAATTAAAAATATGCGCAATTTAGCGTCTGTTCGGCGTTTGACTTGTCGCCTCTTTTCGCGTACTAGGCATTGATCCTCTTATTTAGCCAAACACACTGAAATCGATTGTTTAAAATTGATTTTAATTCTTCCAGTTCCAGAGGAGCGCCTGGAGGTTATCCGCCACCCGCCCAGTGGTGCTACGACCAAAGTGGTCCGCCACCACCACCGCCACCCCCTATGATGTCGCCGTATGACCGCTGTGGCCGTGGGGGCATGCCTCCGCAAGGACCACCGCCCCAGATGTACCCCGGAGGGGGCGGTGGTGGCTATCCGGTAAGCACCCCGCGGTCTGGATTGCCTTTACCTTATCGTTGTCTAGCTGGAATTCAAGAATCCATCTTCCTTGATGGTTCCCCAACAACTTTGCCTTGGAGATAGTCTGTCAATCTCTTATTGGACAGCCGTGTTTTGTTGTATCACCGTCCCTTCTGGTTGTTTTAGCCCTACGGCGGCGGTGGTGGCTACCGTGGCAACGGTTACGGTGGACCAGGCCCTCTTCCATCGATGGTCGGCGGACAACGCGGTGGAGCATTCTACGGCGGTGGAAAGCCCTACGGCAACGGTGCTGGAGGCGCGCGACGCGGTGGAGGCGGCGGGGGCGGCTACCAAGGCCGATGACAGCAGGTGTCGTCGTCGTCGTCGTCATCGCATTTTGTGTCCGCAAACTGAAACTTGCCACATTGTGTTGTTTCTAGCTTTCCACATGCTTCTAATGTAAACGGTCTTTTCTACGCGGAAAGAAAAGTAAATGTTGAGTATTAATCGAGCTGATTTCGTCTTCTTTCTCTGAATGCGAATGACTGATCGTGCGTTGTAAACGAATTGTCTACTTGGTGTTCTGCCCCACCCCCACCTCCCGGCCTCAATCGTTTCCCAAATCTGGGTCGAAATTGGTCCCGTTTTTCCCTATCAGCTTCTGCTTAGCCTGGAATTACGCGCCTCAGACTAACGAACAACACACTGTCTAGCCCTAAACTTGTAGTACTTGTTTCAAACAGCTGTTTTTTTTCATCGTTTCACTGCACCACCAAGTGGCGGATACCCTGAACCGAATTCGTCTGTAGGCGTGCTCATTCAGTTCGTTCAGTTGCGTGATTTCGCGCGTTGTGGTAGCTAAATTCCTGGTTTGTGGTCGCTAACACTGCTTTTTGTGATTATAAATGTCGATTTAGTGTTGATATTTAAAACGAATGGGTGTTGTGAGGCTAATTGTGGGGTCTACACATGCCGTTTTTGCTGTTCTTTAATTTGTCGACATGTAATTTCGAATGCGGTTTTGTTAGTAAGGCGTTCCACAGCGCAATCTACGTGCTTTTTAGTGGTCCATTGGGGGGAGGAGTAGTGGTTGCATAATGCCTGACATGTCGAATTTGCCTTGTTCCAGCTTCCATGGTTAGAGTGTGTGTAGTTGGTTGTCTGCACGGTGAGTTGGACAAGGTGTACGCGGACATCGAGTCGATGGATCAGCAGACAGGCAAGAAGACCCAACTTGTTCTTTGCTGTGGCGACTTCCAGTCAGTTCGCAACCCAGCTGATCTCCACGCGATGTCCGTCCCTCCGAAGTACTATCAAATGGGCGATTTCTATAGGTAAGGTCTTGCCCTCCTCTCGGCATTTGGTGACTCCGTGTTTGGTTCCGAGCTGCTAATTGGTCGAATCAAATCGGATGTTTCAAAAATTCGATTAAAACAAACCACAACGACTTTCTGCCACAATCCGTTAGTTTTTCAGGACAACGTTTCTCTCATCTGTCAATGTTTTTCTTGTGTTGATTCACCATTTTCATCGGCAATTGGAAAAAAACTAATTTTCATTCCGGATTGGTTGGAAAAGGTGAAGGCTGACCAATTAGGCGCACACACATGTACTCACGTAACAACCAATCAGATGGAAGATACGGGTGGTTGGCGTTTTTTAATGGGATCAATTCAAGCAGTTTCGTGTATAGTAGCCTGGGGTGTCATTCATTGGTGGATTGGTGTGTAAAGTGCTTCCGATTGAACCAAAGTTTCATGTGCAAACACAACATATAAATTCAGAACATTGTTCTTCGTGTTCAAGCGTATCAAACGTAGATGGGGAAAAGATTGTTGATCGTGTTCACCGAAGTCAGATGTTGAGGTCTGTCCCGATATCTCTCAATCGACCATCCACTCTGAAGTCAGCTTTTTTGCATTCTTCTGTCTTTCTCTCCCAAGGTATTACTCCGAGGAAATGACCGCTCCGATTCCAACAGTCTTTGTTGGAGGAAATCACGAGGCCTCCAGCTACCTCCAGGAGCTTCCCTACGGTGGATGGGTCGCACCCAACATCTGGTACATGGGTAAGTATTTGTCGGGATCATCTTACCCACAGCCAGTAGCGCACAGTAGCACTCTGGATTGGATTATCGATTTAGGCTACGCCGGTGTCGTTCAGTTTGCCGGTCTGCGTATCGCAGGCCTTTCGGGAATTTACAAACTCCACGACTACTCCCTCGGACACTTTGAGCACCCGCCTTACACGGACTCTACCAAGCGCTCCGTCTACCACGTTCGCAATCTCGAGGTGTTCCGGCTAGGCCAATTGAATCGTCGTGTTGACATAATGCTGAGTCACGATTGGCCCAGAGGCATCTACCACTACGGTGACAAGAAGGGCCTGCTGTCGAGGAAGCGGCATTTCAAAGAGGAAGTGGCATCCAACACTCTTGGAAGTCCGCCTGCTGAACAGCTGCTCTGTCGTCTACGACCTCGATTCTGGTTTGCTGCGCACCTCCACTGCAAGTTTGCCGCCGTTGTGGAGCATCAAGTGAGTTCCGAGGAGTGGAAGTTGTTGTCAGCTTCGGAAGAGTCGTGTCAGTGCTGAGGTGGGTGATCACAGATTCCGCATACACTTCTAGACGTTCCTGATCTTGAATTATAGGATCGAAGGGGTCGTCACACGAAGTTCCTTGCGTTGGACAAATGCCTTCCTTCGCGAGACTACCTCCAGTTCCTTGACATTGAGCCCGATCCGTCCTACGCGACCTTCACGGAAGAAGGTCGCATTGAAGATGGCGATGACCACGAGGCTCCGGTCATCGTCAGTCTACCGTCGAAGACAACGGACGATGACGACAACGACGAACCAGCCTTAACGCTGGACCCAGAGTGGATGTGCATTCTGCGCTCGACCAACGAGTTCCTCTCGCTCACCCAGATACCGTGCATGCTTCCCGGACAGAATGGCACAGACGTGTAGGTTCGACGGCCTTTTCACTCACATGCTCGCGATTGGCGCGCGCCCGCGCGTGCGTACGTGCGTGTTGCAATTGTCTTCTCATTGGTCTGTTTTGTTGGAGGTCTTGGGTCGGCTGAGTTGCCTGGAAAAAGGCCAGTTCGTTGTGGTTGGAACATGATCATGTTCAATCGATGTTACTTTAGAATCGAAATGGGTGATTTTTCCGTCGGTTTGATCAGAATCAGTTGCGTCAGGTGAATTTAATCTTCCTAAAATGTATCCTGATTATACGTGCCTACGCACGATCTGACTAGTTCAACGTAAATAAACTTTTAGTAGTTGATAATCTCAAAATTGAATGCTTTAAACCAAATCTGACACGCGTGATCTGTCAGGCAATCAGCAGTACGCACCTCATTGTTACAAGTGACCCTAGAATTAAGATTGCGCGCGTTCGCTGCCGAATGCAGATCCGCGAGACAGCTTTAGCCATCTAAGTGGAAGAGGCATGATATTTACTGAGGTCCGTCCAACTTGTGGTGTCGCTTGGGATTCCAAACTTCGGGATTTTCTCGTCTTGCTTGTAGACAGTCGTACGCCGCCTCCGTCGCCGACATGGAATCCCTCTGGGACCCCTTTATGGGGGTTTTCCGAATTCCCCAGAATTTTGAACGAACTGCGCCCGCCTACAAACCAGACGACACCACCCTGCACAACAAGCGTCGCCAACAGCTTGCTGCGCTCGCTCTGAAGGACGCGCAAGCCCAGAAGCAGCCCTTCTTCTCTAATCCCCAGACCGAGTTGTTGTGTGCGATGCTCGAACTGACCAATCCCAACGCTGCGCTGATGGGCAAGGAGTCGTACAACGTCGTGGAGTTGGCCAGTCGCACGCTGGCCGACGAAGACGATGACGACGACGATGCTGTTCGGTCTGAGGACGATGGCCCCACGTCGACGCCAACCGCCGAATACGAACCGAGTCCGCCAAAGTCTGGACGGGTGGTTCCTAATCCGGAAGAAATCGATTTGGGTGAACTGGATGATGATGGCGATCCGATTGCAGGACAAACAGGAGCGGCTGGTGCCCACGAAGCTGACAATGAGTATAACCCGGAGTTGGTTGTGAGTAACCCCGGCCAGGTCTTTGAAGACGTCAAGGAAGTTTACGTCCCCACAGACGACCTTCAGGAGGCTGAAGGAGCAGAAACTGTCGAATACAACCCGCAACCAGTGGTCAAAAATCCCGAGGTAATCGACATCGACTATCTGGACGACGTCGACGAGGAAGCGAGCTGTCCAGAGACCTACGAGCCCTACCCCTTGGTAGGCGACAATCAGGTGTCCTACAATCCCGAACCCTTTAGCGGAGAAATCGTGAACCCAGGCAACGAGTATACTCCCTAGATTGTTCCTGTGATCTCTTATTTTTTTGTAATTTTATGTATGTTTTATTTACATAAACCGTCTTCTCCAAAAAACTCCGAAAACAACAACAGCGAGGTTTCAGTTTTCCTTAAGTAAGAATAAAAATATTGGGAAGGGTGCGTGTGTGTTCACATTATTCGTTTTCGTCAGATGATGATGACAACCACGCGGAGACTCGCTTTATTGGAGACGGTTGGGCGTCGCCTTCAAGCTCGCTGCTCTCACTCTCACTGCTCTCCAAAAGACGAGCCCGCTTGTTGCCGGTTTCCGCTTTCCCGACGGCATCTGGTGCGCCATCATCGCCGTCGTCACTGCCCTTACTATCGGGCGACGTGCTCTTTCTTTTTTCTGCTCTCGGAGATGGCGCCGACTCGTCATCACTTCCACTTAAAGAAGCCGCGTTCACGCGGCGTTGACGTGAAGCCCCCTCGGCGGAGTATTCACCAGCGTCTTCTCTAGCACGCTCCTGCTGCAATTCAAGGAGCTTCTGTCGGTGGATCTTCTCGTCCGCGTCCAAGTCCTCTCCGCTCGAACTGCCAGAATCGTCCTCGTCGCTGATGACTGCCTTGCTCACCACACGACCACGGTGCTTAGCCGAGTGCCTCTCCTCAACACCGCGGTGGTGATGGTCATGGTGCTTGGAGGATTTCTTGCTCTCGAAACGCGGCTTCTTCGTCTTCTTGGTCTTCTTGGAGTGGTGTACCTCGCCCCCTTCAGCGACGTCTTCGGGCGCCTTTTGAGCACCACCATCGTCGCTGCTGTCACCATCGTCGAGGAAGTCATCCTCCGCATGACGCTTCTTCCCGCCTCCACCGGCACTCTTGCGCGTTTTCTTGTCCTACAAAAAGCAAAAAATCGTTGAACGGGTTGCCCGCTTGTCCCTCATTCATGGTGCAAAATGCTCAATCACCAGTGCTGTGGACTCGATGTTGATTTGCTTGGCCTTTTCGATGAACTTGCCGCGTTCCTCCTCCAGTCGACGCTCGCGTTCAAGTCGCAGAGCCTCGGCTTTGGCCTGCAGCTCCGCCTGCTTCTGACGCTGAGCTTCTCGCTCCTCCTCCTACAAAACAACAACAACACCGTTTGCACATTTCACCGGCCTTGTCTACACACACACAATTCCTTGGTGTAGATGGACGTGCCTGCTGTTGGCGGAAGATACGTTCTCGCTCCTCCCTGGTCTTCGCGCGGTCCAGATGGTACTTCGCCTGGCTCAGAAGGTCCTGACAGGCACGTGCTTCGTCGCCGGCCATGGCCTGGTTCACCACTTCGCTCGACTTGGCGAGGTACTCGAATGTGCTGAAAATGGATGAGTGCGGTAGCATGCTATTTCCCCATCTACCTGAACGGCAACTACATGACATGTGAATCAGTGTTAGGAGTTTGTGGTCTCGAACCGTATCGGTGGCCGCCGCGTTGTGTCTACCAGCTTACGCGTGTCCGGACCCTCTTGACATCCCATTGGTCAAGCGGGCAATGACCTTGACCTTAGGATGCATACAGTTTTCCGCACATTTAATACAGATCCATCTATGCGCTTCCAAGGGGTAACCTGATGCACACATCAACTCGAGTAGTCCGTCAACTCACCATCGTGCCATGTTGAGGTCAGAAATGGCCTCACACACCGCGGCAAAGCTGCTCGCTTCGTCCTTCAACACCAGAACAGCCATGCGTTTCTGCACCAGAGCCAGGTTGAAGGTCAACAAGGGGTCCCAGGGTTTAACACGGCGCGCCTAATTCAAAATCAATGCGAAACCGTCACTTCAAGGCCGCTAACACTCGGGCAACTGAAAAGTTATCGATACCCACCTTCAGGAGGATGGTTTTGCACTCCTTCAGTTGGTTTGCCTTGAAGAAGGCTCGCGCCAGGTATAGCAAGAGTTCGGTGTCGTTCTCCCTGTTGAATTTGCGGATGCAATTTTCGTACTGAAATATATATACATATAGAGAGACACTGTGCCAACGACAATGATGCTTCCCTCGAATTCGGAATTCCAAATCAACAAGGGCGTTTGGACAAGACGGCATCACCCGAGGCGAAACAACTAGACCAACCAAATCAGAGCCTCACCATTTGAATGGCCGCCGTGAACTGCTTCTGCTCAACGTAGACGTGGGCGATGTTCATCCAGACGTCCGGGAAGTCGGCCGTGGCCTCGCGTACCTGCGCGAAGACGTCGCGAGCCTCGTTGATGAAGCCTTTGTGCGCTAGCACGCAGCCTATTCCGTGGGCTGCCCATATGTTCCTCGGGTCGGCGCTCAACACCGCTTTGTAGCAGGAGAGAGCGCGCTCCTGTGTAAGGGCACAAACGCACGGAGTTAACCGGGGGGGAACAAAACTCCACGAGGAAGCGGTAGGCACTGAAAAGCGGGGGGAGGGCTTACTTCGTGGCGTTTGCGTCGATCCTTGTCGCGCATTTGATGGTGAAGCGTGCGAAGCCAGATGTTGCCGAGGATGATACGACAGAACGCGTCGGCACGGTACTTCGCCTGGCGCACGATACGCTCGAACTTCTTTTGCGCCAGCTCCACCTCGCCCTTGTTCAGATGCAGCAGACCAATCAGCGTCCAGGCGTCCGGATTGTCCTAGAAAGAGATCACACCCGACGTCATTGCGTGGACCAATCAGATGCTTCGCAGAAGCAAGAACAGAGTTGCGAGCAAAATGCTGTCTCGTGGAAATTTAGTTGCAATAATTTTATGCAAACTTACAGGATTAATCTCTAAAACCTCTCTGAACCACAAAGAAGCGTCCCGCAATTGGCCACGATCGCGAGCAATGCAACCAAGACGGATGTAACCTGGAAAATGCGAGAAACGACACTCAAGACGACGGCGTCAATGGCTGCGGTGCTACATAGCTATCAATAAAATTCCATTTAAAGAAAGGTCTCAAACCATCGCCTACAACAACACAGCAACGTGAATAGTCTGCTTAGTTTGCGTGGGGTTACAGAGGTCTAGAAACAGCCAGTCGTATCACATGGTCGTTGCGTGATGCAGAAACTAGCCAACGTCAACTCAACACATACAGTCGGTGTAGGTGGGGTGCTGAAGGAGAATAGACTTGTAAACGCCCTCAGCGAGGTCGGGTCGATTCATGGCCTCGTGCAGACGCGCCTGATTGTAGCGCACAGTGACAGAGAGGTCGTGGTAGTAGTCGTCGGAGGCAGCACCCTCACCGCCCGAGGCCGTTCGCCGATGCAACTCGACGATCGCGCTAGCCGTCAGAGTGCTCACCAGGGGCGCGGGTGTGAGACTGCGTGGGGGCTTATCCGTGCCACTGCTCTCATCGTCCTGCAGCTGTTCCTCACACAGGCGCTCGTAGGCCCGATTAAGGAAGGACTAAAGCGACAAGTAAACATGTCTGTGAGGCAGGCTTTCGAACTGTTCACAAGCCTTCACGAAGAGGGTGACGTACTTCAGCTTTGGTGTGCTCATTTTTCATGAAATACAGGACACCGATGTTGTTGAGGATTTCCGGCGACACCTCGAGCTGACAGTCTTCGAGAATATTGAGGGCGTTCAAGTAGGCATTGAGGGCACCAGAAGTGTCCTCTTCCAGTAATTGGGCGTACTCAATCCATGCCTCCACGTCATCCGGCTGGCTGTCTGTGACCTTAAATTTGGGGAAGCATTCTGGTTAAGACAAGCGGTCGTGTCTGGGTTTAATATTAGGCATGTACGTACTTTTTTGAAAAGCTGTTTGGCTTGAGCTCGCTTATCTAGCTTGTTGGATTGTGCGTACAAGCTTCCGAGGATTTTCAACGTCTCGTAGTTGTTCGGGTAAGCTTTAAGCACCTTTTCGAAGGCAATAGCCGCCTACACAACACGAAATTTGAGTTAGCAGTGCAACGCCATGAAAGGAACTTAATAGGAACTGTATACGTACGTGTTCTAAGTCGTTACGATGCAAATACATCTGACCAAGGCCGTAGAATGGCAAGAGGAAGGAAGGAGAGGCAAATTGGGTGGCGAGGTAGTAGTACTGGAAGGCCTTGTCGTAGTTACCCTCCACGTGAAGAGCTCGCGCCATCTGGTAGCAACTCTCAGCCCGCATTGCCTCGTTTTCAGTGTTGTGGAAGGCGTGCATCGCAAGTTGATGGACCTTGTCGTACTCCTTTTTGTAAAAGAAGTGATCCGCCAGATGATTCAGTACCATCGGGTTTGTGGGATCAAGGTTGTAAGCTCTTGACAGCTTCTGGACGCCCTGCTTAATCGACTCCTGTGGGATAAGCAAGCGATAAAAAAGTGCAACAGCCTACCTGAGTCTTTTCGTTCAAATCAAGAATCGCAAGCCCGACAAGAGCCTTCACACTTTCCGGATCAAGGTCTAGGGCTCTTTGAAAGGCTAATCTGGCCTTTTTTAGGTTGCCTAGACGCGCAAAGCAATGTCCTATTCCTAAGCGAACCGATGCCGGACAATTTGGCTGGAGACGCAGTGCTTTGCGATAAAACCCGAGAGCATTCTTGTACTCCTGTTTGTTAAATGCAATGCAAGCCTTGCCCAAATACGCCGGCACATGCAGAGTTTGTCGATTAAGAACGAAATTAAGCTGGCTATCAGCCTGACTCCATTTTTCGCCCTCGTAAATGAAGTAGAAAGCACGGCCAAGTAAATGGTTTTGATCGTACATCGAAATGCGGTCTGCGGCTGTAAACAGTGTTGCTGCCCGGGTAATTAATTCTGCACGCTTCTCCTTGTTGTTCTCTCTAAATTGATTTAGACGAAACCACTTTCAATAGACATACTTTGCGGCCTTTCTGTCACAATAATTGGCGAGCATGTCAAACATTTGAAGAACATCACTTTCCCATTTTGGGGGCACATTGGTAACCGTCTGTTTGGCGGCTTCAAGAACCTTCTCAAACTCGTCAAATCGTTTATTTTTGTAGTACGCCAGTGCAACGTTATTCCATTCACGTGGAGAAGAACCCTCCTGGGTTAAAATGCCGATGACCTCATCTGCATCCGGAAGTTGGGTGGTGTCGAGTACTATCACTTCGAGTCCTCCACGAAGCGGAATTTCAATACTGTTTTTACCTGAATACTGGGGCGTGTCTGATCTGCCCGAGTCATAACCGGCAGAACCTGCGTCGGACGCCTAGAAAAGGATGACCTCGGATATATTGCAGAGCTTCCGTAAGTTATGAGGCGTAAAAGCATAAGAACATATGAAAGACACAGTCAAAAATATTTCTTCTCATATTATGCACCCCCACATTATGGGTGTGACGGGACCAGCGACTATTAATTTTACAAAATTGTTCATAAGATTATATTACCAGACTTTGCTGGTAGCATTAGTACAATGAAAATCTCGACGCTGAAGACAATATAAAACGAAGCAAAAAAATGAAAAAAACCGTACACTCATATCCGGGGGCGAGATGCAAACTCAAAAGATGGCAAGACACTATATCACAGAATTAAGGCGCAATAGTGAAAAGACGTATAAGGGCGCAGACATATTGGACAACACTGCCCCCAGCCAATACTCTGTCTCCTTGCGTTCGAGTGGCATGCGAGGAAAATATGCAGCCAACCAGAGACAGGCACCCATCAGAAGCGGTATATAGTGAGCAGCGTAGCCAGCGTGGTGGACTCCGATGGACGGCGCCCGATGTGTGGTTATGGCTTGTGATTGGTCGACAAAGCCTCCTCCGTTGTTCCAGTCTCCTTCATAGTGCGTCTCGAGCATTCTACACATAGTCCCGCCACTTATCCTGGATCTAGAAGAGAATCACGGCAATAATTGGTTGAAGATAATAGCATGTATTGGACGCCGTTTGGAAATTTGCTGAAGGCCTTAAAAGTAAGAATGAGTAAAAAATGTGTAGGAAATGAGATACCCTAAAATCTTGCAAGGAATGGTAAAGTAATAAAAGGTGTTTGTACAAAAATCACGATTCCTAGTGTCGCATCTGGTATTGAGAAGAGTTCCGTTAGAAGCTGTGATTTTTTCATACATAACAATTAAATCATGCTTTCCCGATCATCTGGAATTTGCAAATGTGTTTTAAATGACTCATATAGCACTTGACCGATTCACAGCATTTTTTAAAATAATTTTAAGTTTTGTTAAAGAAGATAATTTTAGCAAAAGGCAGTCAATACAAATCAAAAATTAAGCGACATCCAGACAATGCTCAAGACACCAATAATACAAATGTAAAACAATAATATTGTAAGTACTGGAATATTCCGTTGGTTGTATCCCGCAATTACAGTCAACCTTTGATTACTTTATAGGTAATGCTAATGCTGTGAATTTTGCCTATTCACACGCGTCAAACCGATCGCTCCACCTTCGACTCAGGGCTCCCCTATTTGCAGCATGTCTCCAGCCGCACTGACCCTCAATTCCCCCCTCATTTATCTTGGATTATCCTCTCGACAATAGCGCAGGTATGACTCACACATCTAAGCTATAAATATACACGACCCCAACGCGGTTGAGTTCTTAAGTAAAAGTTTGTTTCCACGTCATCTATGATCTTTTTCTTCATCGCGAGTATCAGGGAAGCGTAATCGGGCCAGGGTTAATTCCGTGGCCCCAGTGTGGTTCAAGATTACATGCTAGGGCCCGAAATACTAGCAAATTTGAAACATATTCAAGTGCCAATAAGAAATATAAACTACTCGAAATGCATTAAAAATGACCACAAACTTGAATGGATTGAAATTTCTATTACTCTAGCGAAGCAGCCACCTTAGTGGATTTGGATAATTTGTTTCTGGCTGAAGTTTCTGCTATATGGGATGTCTAAAGACCTGCTTCGCTGCCTCAGTTATGTCAATGTGCGTATGCACTCATAAGTCCGGATATGCTATATCGCAAAACACTTGGGTCTTAGTATAAGGATTAGTGTTTCTGTTTTGCTCTCTGTTTTACTCTTGCAGGTCACTTAAATGCTAAGAAAAGCAAACATATAATAAGGCGCATTTGAACTCGCACTCAGTCTTTGGCTGATACAGTAAAAGCTCTCTGCTCGACGTCTGGCATTGTCCCTCACGTGTTTAGTCTAAATAGAGGCGATACTTTTCATTTTTTTGCTCCCAGGGTTGTTTTGATTAATACAAGGTGAAGCACCTAAAAAAAATGATGCAAGATGGAAATAAGAGCAGCTCAACTTGCTTACTGACGGTGTAGAGGCGTGGCGTAATTTTATATGGCCTAGCTAGACTTCGATCCCGGAACAAATATAATAATTTAAAGTGCACTCATGGAAGTAAATTGAAAAGTGTCTGTTCCTGTCTGTTAACTTTGCTTGCTGACAGCTCGCCATAGCACTCATCTTTGGAAAAATAATTCGATAAGAGTCTTCTAAAATGACTGGCCGTTAGGTTAAACTAATTTAATTCTCTCTCAAGCACTTCATTAGCCAGGCCAATGGGTGTGTCTGCTATAGCGAGTAAAGGTTACAGTGTGGTCAACTCTAGTAAATTTAGACGTTGCTCAAAGCCAAATTCATTCTTTCTGTGGCGTCTCTGGTCTTAAGGAATGCAGCCTTAAGGCAATCAAATGATACTGTGGACTCTTTTTGTAATGTTCGATAATAAAGATTTTTTTACAAGACGTGAGGCACAGAATCACCATTTAAGCCGCACCAAAGAGCGCCAACGGCTACGTTGTTAAAGGTCGATTAGCGTTCAAAGTTGAAAACACATGCATGACAGACGATTTGGATGAAATCGACGGACTTTTTATTCAACTAAAATGACTCTTTACAGTGTGCTGCATTTAAATGCGTTCACTGAATGAGTTGGACTTAACAAAAATCAGGAGTTGAGTCAATCAAATTTTGAGGGACCAGACGGCAGTCGATCGATAATTGTTGCAAATCGCAAGTAAAGGGTAAAAGTTTAGTTGAGCTATACCTGCTGAAGCGCGGGCTAACTATTATGTTAAAGGCCTTGAAAAACATATAGAACTACTCCAGGATCATTAATAAGGTAGCACGCAGCTCATCTAGTTTACTGATGCATTAGTCGCGTGGTGATCAAATGTAACAAGATATAATAAATAAATAGAGTACAATCATCTGGATTAATTAAGTTGTGTTCGCTTACATCTCATAAACTGCTGATTTGCTGCTGGCAACAGGGGTTTTCATATGTAAAAAAACATATTAGTAAATTTAAACCACACCTGATTCCTCAGTTTAGAAGCCGGAATACATCATGCCGTCGCCTGAAAATAGTTTGCAAGATTATTTGAGACATCAAAGGTGTTTTCCATATAGCTTACGTAAACCAATAAAGTGCAAAAGCATCTAACTATTAAATTCCGACAAATGGTCTCAAGTGTGCTTCATTTAGTTAGGTATATCAATAAAAATTATATTTTAAGGGACACTACGTAGTTATTTGGATAAAGATTCGAAATAAATATTTGCCTATAAATCATATTAGCATGGTATAAAATATTGCGTAAATTATGATTGCACATATTTTAATATGTATCAGAAGGCGCAAAAAAAGATTTGAGGAACTGGGAGTCTCAAAATTTGCCCATTGAGCAAGCGCTTCCAAAAAACTGGAATGAAAATTAAATAAACATTAAAATTAGTGGTACAAGTACAGGCAGGAAAGCAAACATTACGAGCAAAGTAGTTAGCTGATTTCCAAAGGAAGCCTCACTAATACTGATTTGGAAATTCATATCAAGATGCTTTACCGTAATTTCTCGAAGTTCGCAAATAGTAGTAAACCTTAAACATCGTAACTTAAAAAGTGGAATACAGAGTAACAAAATTTAAGGATTGTTTTTAAATAAAATTTTACGTCAAAGTAAATTTTTATTTTTGGAAGAATCTAGTGGGAATTTCAGCATTTCATTATGCAACCAATTCAACTTAATTTTACATCATTCTGTATTTTAGTGTTGATACACCTTTTACTACATTTATTTAGTAAAAAGTTACTAAATGTTCCCTAAATTTCTTTAGTGTCCGTGACAACAAGATTTGACCTTTAAATAGCAAATGTTAAATATGATTGTATTGGTGTACCAAAAATTGGCATACTAAATTATAGTTTTTACTCCAAAGTTTATTAAATTAGGACAAAACATTTAATAAGCTGATAAAGAATGTGCGAAAATTAAGGAGCAGTGGTAATTTATTCTATTGATCTTAGATGCAGTGCAGAGATAACATTGATTGACCTTGGAATTTAGTTTTAACTAAGAGAACCACACGTCAGGCACCGGCCATCAGATTCCACCACGCTAGCTACGGCGCTGACTATATAATGCTCCTCATTTGTGTCTTTCCCTGGTTGGCCCCCCATCGTCCCCGCATGCTATTGGAGCGCAGAGAGACAATGGATTGGCTAAGGCCAGCGTGGACTAACATGTTTGAGCCCTTATACGTCGCCACACTGCCTCCATCTTACAAGTGAAGCTGTCCTCAGCTTCTGGCTTGGTTCACCGCACTGTTCATGCTTAACAAATTATCCATCTAGACACTTCCTGACACCACACATCTGGCAGGATAGTGGCCCAAGCGATTAGTAGACAAGGGAATTTGTTCTTGTTGACTCTCAAGGAGGCCGCTTTATCCATTGAAGATTCCTTCTTTTTGCAGTCAAGCTGGCTTCTACTGTCCATGTCGTCGTCGCTGATTTATCAATGCTTCTTCAGATGCAGTAGTACTAATCCCGGGCAATGTCATGGATCCAGTGTATGGGACATCGGGTGAACGCCATGACAACTTCTGCTGGCATTCAAGGGTCTTTGCCTCCGTTTTTCTATTTTTGGGAAAGGGCTGGGTTTCAATTCGAATTATTCGAACGCATCCGCTGCCACCAATGTAGAATACCCGAGCCCTAATAGATAGAAGACTGGTACAACAGAACAGGCATTATTGATAAATGACAAGATAGAGCCACAGGTCAGTCGAGGTCCATCCGCGGCCACCACGCTGGCTAAGAGGTTCATTATATACTGCTTCTCATTTCTGTCCCTCTCTGGGTGGCTGCATATCTTCCTCGCAAGGCAATGGAACGCGAGGAGACAGGGGATTGGCTCAGACCTGCATTATCCAATATGTCTGCTCCTAAAAAACATTTTTGTTAACTTGACAAGGTGTAGATAGCCCGAGCCCTAATAGGAAAAAGACCGGTACAACAGAACAGGCTTTATTGACCAATCACAACCCAGAGCCACACGTCAGGCGCCTTCCATCCGAGTCCGCCACGCTGGCCACGCCGCTCATTATTTACCTCTCCTCAGTCGTGTCCTTCTCTGGTTGGCTGCTTGTCTTCCTAGCATTGGAACTGAGGGGGACACAGGATGGTCTGCGGTCAGGTGGTCCAATATGTCTGCGCCCTATTCCAACGCCACTGTAGAATACCCGAGCCCTAATAGGTAAAAGACCGGTACAACAGAACAGGCTTTATTGACCAATCAGAAGCCAGAGCCGCACGTCAGGCGCCTTTCATCCGAGTCCACCACACTGGCCACGCCGCTCATTATATACTGCATCTCATCCATGTCCTTCTCTGGTTGGCTGCCTTCCTTTCCCGCATGCCATTGGGTCGCAGAGAGACACGGGATTGGCTGAGGCCAGGTGGTCCAACATGTCTGCGCCCTGATCCGACGCCACTGTAGGTTTCGGGCCCATTGTAAGAACAAGAGTGAGAGGTAACGGATAACTTTACTAGACACAAGAAGCACTACAGTCTGGTCACAAACTTGTCGGTCCGTACAGAGAAAACAGGGGCTTTATATATCCTTGTCCTGTTCTTCCTGTTCTCCCGTTGGTCCGTTTCGCGTCGCTACAATGGAGACGGAAAACTCGTGAGCGGATTGGCTTTCAGCCCCCGGCGCGTCATTCCATGCCCGCACGCCGCCACGCAGCCGGAAGTCACACCCCCGGTCACGTGACGTCGCCTCCGCGCCGTGCTGACTACCCTCACCAATATGGCTGCCAACTGTCAGTCCGCTACACCACTGTAGAATACCCGAGCCCTAATAGGAAAAAGACCGGTACAACAGACCAGGCTTTATTGATCAATCAGAAGCCAGAGCCTCGCGTCAGGCGCCTTCCATCCGAGTCCACCGCGCTGGCCACGCCGCTCATTATATACCGCATCTTATCCATGTCCTTCTCTGGTTGGCTGCCTTCCTTTCCCGCATGCCATTGGGTCGCAGAGAGACACGGGATTGGCTGAGGCCAGGTGGTCCAACATGTCTGCGCCCTGATCCGACG